AAATGATGGCAATTCTTTATGTTCAGTTTATATTGAAGTCGCGGTGAATCGATTTATTAAGCATTGTTAATAAATAAAACTACCAGAGCATAATCGCAATGAGCTACGGCACAAAATCAAGATCCACATTTCCGCCACAGAGTAGCAGCACCGCTTTGTTGATACCGAGCTCGGACGGAGAGATTTTCAGAAGTCCTGCCAGTGGCACTGCTGCAGATGGCTCGACACGCTGCTGCAAAAGCCCAACGTGACCATCAGCTAACGTACTGGCAAGGCTACTGCGCCGTAATGTGTATCTCTCACCTTAGTTCGTGTCCAAATTAGCTTAAGAGCGGCTCGGATTTCGTCGTCATTCTGAACATGGCTCACTTCTCATACAGTTCATGATTAGCAAAAGTAAAGTAGGCAACTGCCATTGAAAAGAGAATTTCATGGATCATTTATAAAGGCTTGCGAACCGGTTCTCAGCAGTATCTTGCTCGGTGACTGCCATCTTTCCACACATTCCCTGACATGGGCTACTTCTATCCAGGGCTTATTTGCAGCCGGCTGCCCTATAAGGCCTAGGCCGTGTTTGTGACCAACATTGCTCAGTTGGCGTGCAGGATATGATAGCTCACATCCAAGCGGCGCCACCGTTTTGAGCCTTCTCTTCTCATTTGAACACTATCTCGGCTGAAACTATTTGTGGCTCCTCAACGGCAAGGATCAGTATCAAATTGAATTGACGCGCTAATCTACTCAAATGTGAAAGTAGGGATCGCAGGTCTACTGAAAGTGGAGAAAAAAGGAAAAAATCGTCAAAAACAGAGTAAATGCGAGCCTTCTTGTTCTACGCTGCAAAGAACTCTAAGGGGAGAGATAAAGTGAGTTGCAGAGGAGGTCAAGAATTCCGAGAAGAGAGAGCATGGCAGATCATCGTTGCGTCGCAGAGGGATCGAACGGTGGGCGTATCTTGATAGTTTGGTGGGATTTGTTCAAAGTCCTTAGCGCCTAGCGTCTTAGTGACGCGTTTCGATGGGTACCCCCCAGGAGGCCCGTCGCGCGGCAAGAAGGCAGAGTCGGCGGACGAGTTGCAGCGCGTGGTGTGCGATGTAGGACGTGCAGTGGGACACTCTATTAACTTGACGCGAAATCCCTATAGTACGCGCGCGACTCGTCCGCTGACTTTGCCTTCTTGCCGCGCGACGGGCCTCCTGGGGGGTTACCCGTTCGTTGGTCGAAGGAGCGCGCGACCGACAGCGATATGAACCACACAATTCCTATTCAGGGAGCGACTAGTTCATTGGGTGCTGTTCTGAACTAAGGCCGGTCATGCGTCCGTTGGACAAAGTCCAACGAGGGGTCGTATTCGGCCGAACCAAAAGGAGGGGTCGTATTCGCAAAGGTCAATGTCGCAATACGTAGTTGAGAGGCATAATTTTCAAGTGCTTCTCTAACTACAAACCACAAACGAGTGCATGGCGTACCTCAGAGCAGAAGAGTCTACTGCAGTAGTGTCCATATGTGACTGTTCACGTATAGAAATATGCTTCTGAGGAGAAACAAATGCTCAAACTGAATCCTCATGTGAAGCAAAGTGGACCACATTGGAATAGGGTCGACTGCTAAAGGCGCGGACAAAGAGAGAGTATTGGCGGGAAAGTTTTCGATATGTTGCGATTCCTGAAAAGGGTTAGATTATCTGATTATGAAAGCACAAAGCTGTACATAGTCACGTATCATTTTCCTCATAAATTGAGTTGAAAGTTGTGGGCAGGGTCGGTCGACCCCAGCGTTGGTACCTTTTGGAAATTTTTACGACCCCCCTCCTTCATGAGGGATTTGATACGACCCCCTTATCCCCACCCCGACCACCACCGTAACCGTCATAACTGTTTCTATAGCATTTGATTCTGAGACCAGTCGACACAGCCCGACCCACTTTTTCCTCAAAACAGCCGTCAGGGGGTATTTCTCACGTAATACCCCAATTTCACATGTTATTTCATGGGGCTAAAGCGAGTACGACCCCCCCCCCACAATGTGAACAAAATACAATTCTCTCGTTGGTACTTGTAGTGCAACGTCGGGTTGACCCTGGTTGTGGGTGTTTGAGTGTGAAAACTCGCTGTTTTCAGGAAAGTTGCACCGAAAATTCATGAAAAAAAAAACGGTCCAACGAGACGATTTTTTAGACGGGTCATTGTGGAAACTAGTTCAAGCATTCGTTGGAAAGCTCTATTTGATCTTTGTTTATGTTTTTCTAGTTTCCTACAGGGGACAGAATCGCCACAAACATTCAATTGACAAAGGCAAGTTACAACAATTTTTAATGCCAAAAAAAAAAGCCAGCCTCTGCCAAAAATGCATTCCAACAACGAGTTCAAACGCGACCGCATTTTTCTGAACTACGATCCAGTTTTGAAGAGTTCACCAAGATTTGCTAGAAGCTCAACCTTCCTATGTTTATTCAGAGTAAACAAGAATTTGCAAAGGTTAAATCTAGAAGAAGTTATAAGCTGAAAACGCACCCGGTTGTGCACGAAAAACGGGGCGAACTTGTTTTTTTTTGAGAAGTGAAACTTTACAAAAGTTTGAGTACTTTTTAGAAAGAAAACAATCTGAGTTCCAAAATTTTCTTACCACTTCTCACACTTTCTTATTTGGAAAATTACAACCTTTCAAATGAAGAAGTGCGCATTTCTGTGAATTCTTAATTCTCTACCCCATAACTAAAAGAGTTCTGGAGATACTGCACAAACGTGGTAGTTTCTGAAACTAGCAGTCTCGCAGATTACAAATCTACTTGGCGTTTTGAAAAATATTGAGGTTGAACAGAATTACACTCATTTGAAAATTAGTAGTCTGCCTCGGTCTATCCGCGCTGGGCCGAGGGAAGATTGTGCGCGCCAATGCAAACGCGACGCTACCGCGCTCAATCTGGTGTAACGCTCGAAGTAGTAGTACGAAGTAGTACGCAAACACACACAATTACCAAGTGTACAGTACATAATAAGTGTTTGGGGGGGGGTCGTATCGAGACTCGCTAAAAGGAGGGGGGTCGTAAATTTTTCGAAATTGGTCCAACGTGACGGTTGACCCTGGCCTGGACCTTTTAATGCTATGTGGAGGAACGGCTGCCTAGCGTTATAGCAAATACATATAAAAAATACACATTTTATGACAAGCTACGAGTCTGTTTTGCTTGGAAACGAACGTAATGGAATTGGACTGCTAGCGGATAGAAAAGGAAAAGAAGCCAAAAAAATGAGATTCGGCTTTTGTGAGGTGGACAGTGCTGCAAAGAGGATACACCAGACGCTGAGAAGGGCGAACAGACGAGAGAGGGCAGTGCTGAGCAAGATGCAAATTTCCTACGCGCTGGGAAGCTCATCTTTGACCTGTCATCCGGCACCAGCCTGAAGAATTTATTAACGTTCGACTTCTTCACCACTTTATAACCATCCGTGACAGTAACCGTTTCTTGAACAAATCAAACTGGGAGAAGTTTTTGGGGCACCGTGAATGCAGAGCTATACCGAACTGATGCTTTTCAAGCAGAAACTCCACCAAAACAAGCACCTTATCATCGTTAGGAGATATGCTCATCTTCAGTCTGGTCTCTCACTCTATCAGAGCTTTGCAGCTACAAAAACAAAACAGTGATTCAAATTTTTGAGGCGATGCGTCAGTCACTGCGCTCGTTGATTTATCTCGTTGAATGCAATGTCCCCCCTAACTGGAGAGTAGTCAGAGGTAATAGCGACGGATTTGTAAAGCTCTAGAATCCCGAAAACAATTATCCTAGCAAACTGAAGACTTTAGTCAAAGCATACAGTAAGTCCCAGAACGGGAAGCCTCCGCACGTCTGCCAATAACGTTGTGAAACATTTTGTTGAGAAACACCGCTTTAGGCAACTTTCATTCCAGACAACTTCAATGGCGCTTTCAAGAGCGGTCATTAGGAGCATCCAACACAAATACTGCCACATTTTTTCCAGCACAGGAGCCAGCCACTGTGGAGCGGTCCTGCAGAGCGCATAGTAGACAGTGGGTTAAAAGAAAGACCACTCTACGTCCGTCTGATATAAATTAGAAAGCATTCTTCAATAACGACAAGTGAGAATGTCCGTAAAAGGTAATAGTTCCCACCATTAAAAATAGACGTATAAAGAATCTTTCTTCGTGCCCCAATACGAGGGAAGACATTTTCAACGTTTTGAAGTTAAAGAGATCTCAAGCTAACTACATGAGTTTATTAAGTAATACTTTTTTACTACAATAAGTGATCTAAAATGGTAGCGTATTGAAAAAAGAACGAAGACCCAGGCAAAACTCACCACGGTAATGATTTTGTCAGCACAGGATTTCTTCAGAATCGGGTAGCAATTTTCTCCTACTTTGAGCACTCGGATTCCATCAGCTATAGTGTCAACCACATCTCTCTTCGGTTGTGATTTCACCCTTGGCCAGGTAGATGCCGAGGTCTTTCCCTACCGGCTCGACGAGGAACACTAAAACGCCACCTCTGCACACTCAGGACTATGGGTAGGACTTGTTCAATGCTGCACCTCTGATATCTCTGGTCCACCTTCAGCAACATACGCCGTCACACCACTTGCCATTCCTCCACCGCCAACAGCAAGGAAGATTGCATCAGCGTCCCGGAACTTGTTCGACGATTTCGGCTCCAATAGTACCCTGGAACCAACACCGTTTCTCAGCAGTGAAGTGCGTATCAAAGGTAACGCTTGGGAACCATTTATGGTAAACTATACAAGGATATCACAGCAGCCGACAAACTGAGAACCCGCAATGGTCAACATCGTGCCAGAAACAGGTCTTTCGTAGCTTGTGATAAGCACTTCTCATTTTGAAGGATTCCACGATAAGGTCGAGGGCAGAAGAAGCAGAAATATTCATTTCGAAAAGCAGGCGGGCCCTCTTAAGGGCACGGGACGATGCACGTTTTGCATGGGAGAAGTGCAGCCCCAGCGGCTAAGCAGGGCCATACCCGCAACGCTCGCCGCGGCACGCCCACCCTCTCGCCGTCTGACTCTAGCATTTAGCAGAGAAGAGAGAGAGAGCGTTAGCGTTGAAGAGGGCAGCACCGATGAGAGTCGCATCAATGCGGAAATCAACGGGCAAGGAAGGGTCCCATTTCTCGGGTTCTGGGCCGTTTCTCATGGTTTTTCTTCATCCTGCACCACTGACCACCTTTACTTTGACTTACTTTCTAATGGGCTGCGGTTTCATAGTAAACTCCGCCTTCTAAGGCGGTGACCACGATGGTTGGAGAATTTTGCGGTTTTGATGTCGTTGAACATCATTAGTGCAAGGGCGGCAACCACACTCTACAGCGCGCTGAGGGGTCTTATCTACCAACGACATCCAATGATGTCATCAAAACCGCATCGCCCTTCAGCCATCGCAATCACTGGTTTTATCTGTGAGAAGCGCAACATTACTGGCAATTCACCCATACTTACTTGTCCACAAATCACATTTGGATCATCAAATGGTTCGACGACCCGGTAGTTGAGCTCTTTGGACAGACGAGCGCACGTCTCTTCTCTGAAAGAACTGATCGGCGTTTTGAAGAACATGCTACAGTACTCTCTCGGAAGAACCACAACAGTTCTCAGTAAGAAGGAGTAGTTCTGTTCCAACAGTTCCAAAATACAAAGTATATTTTTCCAAACTTTTAACATTGTTTTTTCTTTTTGCTTTTAGGCATACACAGTAAGAAAAAGCTCTAATCATACTACATATCAATCATGGCTTACAATGAGTGCTAGTCATCAGTGTCATCTGGGTTCACTGTGAAACAGCCCTACTTCTATCAACCATTACCAGTTTAGCAACTCGAACTTCCGAATCGACGTAAAGAAACCAAGCACCTGCTTCGATGAGTCGCTTCACAAAGCTCCAACGAGCTCCACATAACCCCTCATCGCTTCAATTTTCGAAGGAGGAGCACTACGTGGAACGGCCACGCAACAAGGCAGGCCCAACTCAGACGCGGCCCACGCCAGACCTTGACCATGATTGCCCGACGAGTGCGTGACCTAAGAGTAAGGAAACTTATGCACAGAAATCGAGCATGAAACACTGCAAAACTATGAATAAATAAGAGTATGGTAGGAGTTAAAAAAAGTTTCACCATCTTACTTCTATAATGAAGTACTATGGCGCAAGTAGAAGAGAAAAGGACACAATCAAATGTCAGCACCGATTCATACAGCACTAAACTGTGAACGTGTAGCAAATTACGAAGTAGAAGTTGGAAACAAGAAACGAACCACTCCCTTCACCGGTCCTTCGTCCATCATCTTCTGTACCGTGTTTAGCGCTCCACGTGCTTTGAAACTGCCTGTTTTCTGCAGATGTTCGCACTTCATGAAGACCTTGCAACCTTAAAGGCACTGGTCGGGATCGACTGGTGTGTAGTTTTGGTTGAAAAATGTACAAGAGCATGGGGACTATTGGTGGGAAGAAGAATGCAAAAAGGGCACAGAAAACATTGAAATTCTTCTTGTGAGGTCGGCCGTGGCATGATGGAGAGACAAAGCGGTGCGAGGAGAGTGAAAACATGAGAGAGCGCGCAGACGCCACGTATGCTGCGGTTGACGAGAATTGCGGCACGGTCACGCACAAGGCAAGGCCTTAGTTGCCTCGCACTTTTGAGTTGCGAAAGCGTTACGCCTCCTGTGCTAGGACCCCTGCTTTCTCACCATAGGAGGGACTGACTCTTACGACCTGATCCCGACTCGGGCTTTAATCAACCAGTTGTGGGTTTGATGAGTCGTACACATCCGAAAGCACATCCTATGCTTAATATGGTGTGGTTACTGCTCCCAAGAATTAAAGTGGGAGAGGGGAATGGACCGCCAGTAAAGAAAAAGAAGAAAAGTATCGAGAACATTCAGATGACAGGCTGTTATCGTGCGCGGTGGACCAACTTACGACGGGAGACACTGGGTGCCGCGGTGAGAGAGGGAGAAAAAGCATATAGGACCAGAGAGACGCAGATTCTTCGCCGCATAGATCGTTGCAGTGCAAAAAAGGCGGCACTATGTAGCGCAAATGACAAGGTCCCTTAACTCAATTCGGCGTGCATAAGGCTTTAAATCTAATCATTCGGAATTGCGGTACCACGAGTAGCGTCAAGGATCGGACTTCAATGTCAGGCTACCCAAAAATGAATGCTTATCAAGCGACTCTGAGTAGCATGCCATACCAGCAACATTGTCGATGCTCTGACACGTGATGACCGGCGTCCGATGAATCCTGCCAGCGAACCTTTGCCGAGCCTTCTCCACTTCCTCGGCGCAAATTACCATTCCCGAAAATGTTGAGTTGACTAAAACCTGAAAAAAGGTTAGTGGGCACGAACAATGCAAGGGAAGAAAAGTCAAAAAACGACCGCATCACAGATGGAAAAAGAATTCTCTCCAGATATGCGCCATTGTATCCCAATTGCTAAACCATGTAGCAGTGCACAAAAGGTGAGATCATCTTAAGGAGCTTGTCGCGCTAATGTTTGACTTGAGCGTAGATTTCGAACAAAGAAGAATTAAGTCTACATCTAATTTACTGCGTTTACACTGCCCTACTATGTCCTGTAATAGTACCCAAGCGGCATTAGAACGCGATGGAATGCAGCTCCTGCGGAGGATAGTTTGCAAAACGTAGGACAAACTATTGCTTGATTTGCTATCAGTGCAATTAGACAAATCGGAGATCATTCCAGCACTAACCTGAGGGTGCCCAAATATTCAGGTTACCTGAATGGAAAATACATTGAGAATATACAGGGGGGGGGCCAAAAAAAAGACATTTTGCCTCCACTTCCAGATGGATTTAAGCACATTTTACTCAACTCAGACCGAACGGTTCCAACTTATTATTAAAGAGTGCATTCCATTCTATAAGAAAATCTTCATAGTGGCCACGTACGTGGACGGCATCAGAAGAATTAGCCCTGGAAACATGGTGCACTGGTCGATCTCAATGGGGTCTTCGAAGGATCGTGTACCATAACGACCCTTACTGGAAAGCTAGTTCCGAGGGGATTTGCACAGTGGTAGCTAATGCCTCTAGAAAACTATCCAACATTAAATCGATTCACGAAATTGCGTAAGAGCTTCAGGCTGAAGCTCTTACGGTAGACCTCCTTGAGCCTGACGACGGTGACAGATGACGTCATATTCTGAAGACGGTGAGGGCAGTGAAGGAGAGCCTGCGTACACTAATAGAGGAACACTTAGGGAATACTCTGCTGAGGAACTCCCGTCAACGACAGCAATCTCTGCGAAGAAAAAAGAGCCGAAGTCCGACATAGGCAAAATGTCTTTTTTTTGGCCCCCCCCCTGTAGTGTTCTTCCAACAAGAGATAATGAATAAACCAAATCTGCGTACATTAATGTTGAAGGGCAAGAATCACGGACAAAAAGGTCACTATAACATGAAAGTAGGTATGGGAGGTGAACTGCAGGACGGGAAAAAAGGAAAAAAATCGTGAAATGTACAGGAACTATAGGCCTTCTTGCTCTACGCTGTTACAAATATGGAAAGCAAAACTGCTATACGAACATTCCAAACAAGTTGTGAGCGCTGGTCATTGCAGGAAATATAGTGTAGAGGATACGGAGGCGAGCTCGCCTAAATTGTGACATTGTGCTTGACCCTATGATCGAATAGCTATCCAAGTTACATGAAAATTGAAAAAGCCTCCCCTGATGAGAAGCAGACGTGGAGACGAGTTATAATGTGGAAGAGGGTAAGAAAGCGAGAATAAGAGAAGAAGGAAAGAGAGAGAGAATAGCAGACGACGCATTTAAAAATGTAACGGTGTGGCGATCACTGATGTACCTCTTACACACACCTCTTATATAGAGGGAGCGGACTATTACACCGTTAAGGCAAAGAAGGCAAAGTCCGTAGTTGTCTTGTACGTTTCTCCGTTAATATCTTTTCGGGTAAGCCCTAATTGCTTGGCTTCCCGATGTATTTCAACTATGACCGTGCTCATACGGAAGGTTTAAAGCGTTCTTGGAAACATTCACTACCATAAGGGGTGGCCAAAAAAGAGACACTTGACTCCACATTTCAGACAGCATTAATCACACTTTGCTAGAATCAAATGGACTGCCCCCAACTCAATATTAATGAGCACCTTCTAATCTATCTAAACCTTATACGACAGCCTTCTACACCGACGACATCAGAAGATTTTCCCACGGATATACAGGGGTGGCCAAAAAAAGAGACACTTTGCCTATGGCGCACATCATCGAACTTTTTGTCGCACAGGGCGCCGATGTTAATGAGAGTTTTATGGCGGAATATTCCTAAGATGTTCCCACGTAAGCAGAAGTAGGCCCTTTTTCACTGCCTCCACCGTCTTCAAAATATGACGTCATCTGTCGTCACCGTCGAGCTCAACGAGGCTTGCTGTAATCGCTCCGGCCTGAAGCTGCTACATGATTTCTTCAATTGATTAGATGGTGAATAACTTCTAGGAGACACTAGCTGTTACTGTGCAAGACCGCTTTTAACCAGCGTTTCGGGGAGGTCGTAATGGCCTATGGTACATCGACGACCTCGTTGAGCTCGTACCGTGAACCATGTTTCCGTGGGAAAATCTTCTGATGTAGTCGGTGCAGAAGGCTGTCACGTGACATTTAGATAGATTAGAGTGTGCTCTTTAATACTAAGTTGGGTTCAGTCGATTTGATTCTAGCAAAGTGTGATTAATGCTGGCTGAACTTTGAAGTGAAGTGTCTCTTTTTTGGCCACCCCTGTAGTTCACGCATACGAGCTCAACGGGTCGTCGAGGTACCATAGACCATTACGACGTCCCTGAAACGATGGTCAAAAGTGGTTTTGCATAGTCACAGCTAATGTCTCGAGGAAGCTATTTAATCGTCAATCCATTGAAGAAATCGTGAAGTAGCTTCAGGCCGGAGCGATTACGGTAAGCCTCGTTGAGCTCGACGGTGGCGGTAGATGACGTCATATTCTGGAGACGGCGGGGACAGCGAAGGAGGGGCTGCTTCTGCTTACGGGGGAACACCTATGGAGTATTACGCCGTAGAACTTTCACTCATCAGCACTCTGTGCGACGAGAAATTCAATGAAGTGCGCCATGGGCAGTGTCTTTTTTTACCACCCCTGTAATAATTCCGTATGTCTGTCACGAAATTCCCTAGCTCCTGGGATCCGCCTGGAGAGACCGGGTCAAGTGTGGGATGGGTGGGCAAGGTCTCGCGAAGTAAAACACACATCAGCTAAGCGGAGCCCCCCACAGTGGGCGTGGCGTGCATCGAAATGAGTGGTACTGACGACCAGGATTTCAATTCATACAAAACAGCCTCGAAACTGGGGAAAAGTGGGTAAAGGTGTGCATTGGTAAGATCGAATTAGGGAGACCCACCCCCGGTGGGCGGGGCGTTCTCCAAAAAAGCAGTGCTTTATGAAAAATTTCATAACTCGGTTGGGAGAAAGCCTACAGAGCAGAAAACAAATTGGTGTAGGGGAGCAATGTCTAAGGTGTTCCCAGCATACATGACGTGGGCGGAGGCCCGCCCACAATGGGCGGCCTGAAGTGTACAGCGTTTTCTACAAGTCCCCATAATTCGGTTCGGAGAAGTCTTGGAGAGCGGGAAAAAGGTGGATAGAGGTGTAGAGAGAGAAGGGAAGGTTGAATGTTAATGGTGGGCGCGGCGTGCACAAAAGTGGGCGGAGTTTGCTGACAAATTTATAACTCGGTTCCAAGAAGTCCTGGAGACCGAAAAAGTGATAGGTCCGACAACGGAAGGGAGTTCAATGCTATTGGTGGGTGGGGCGTGCGCCAATGTGGGCGGAGTTTGCGTCCAAGTTGTAATTCGGTCCAAGAGCTCCTGGAGACCGGGGAAAAGTGAATAGAGATCAGCGAAGGATATGAAGTTAACTGCTTTGGGCGGGGTGTGAACCAAGGTGGACGGAGTTTGTTGACAGACCTATATCTCGGTCCCAAGGAGTTTCAGAGATAAGGAAAAAATGAATAGAGGCCGGCGAAGAAAAGGAAGGAACCAATGGCGGGCGGAGCATGCGTCAAAGTGGGCGTGGTTCGCCGCCAAGCATATAACTGCCTCAGAAACAGTTCAAAGACCGGGAAAAATGTGGAAGAGATTGGCGAGGAAGAAAAAGGTGGGTGGGACATGCACCGAAATGAGCAGGGTTTACCACGAGATTTATGAATGGAGACCGGAAAAAAGTGGGCAATGGTTGACGAAGAAGAAGAATACGAAAGCCATCGATGGATGGAGCGGATAGAATTTAGCTGAGAAGTCAGATATTCGTAGTGTATCAGGCCAAATTTGAGAAATTTTCGCTGCACCATCCCATATCGCCGCAGAACTGTTTGTGCGCGCAATGCGTGGCC